GAGTGGGGTGAGTGAGTGGGGTGAGTGGGGTGAGTGAGTGGGGTGAGTGGGGTGAGTGAGTGGAGTGAGTGGAGTGAGTGAGTGAGTGGGGTGAGTGAGTGGAGTGAGTGGAGTGAGTGGGGTGAGTGGGGTGAGTGAGTGGAGTGAGTGGAGTGGAGTGAGTGGGGTGAGTGGAGTGAGTGGGGTGAGTGAGTGGGGTGAGTGAGTGAGTGAGTGGAGTGAGTGAGTGGAGTTAGTGGGGTGAGTGAGTGGGGTGAGTGAGTGGAGTGAGTGGAGTGGAGTGAGTGGGGTGAGTGGGGTGAGTGGGGTGAGTGAGTGGGGTGAGTGAGTAGGGTGAGTGGGGTGAGTGAGTGGAGTGAGTGAGTGAGTGGAGTGGAGTGAGTGGGTGAGTGAGTGGAGTGGGTGGAGTGAGTGGAGTGAGTGGGGTGAGTGAGTGGAGTGAGTGGAGTGAGTGAGTGGAGTGAGTGAGTGGAGTGAGTGAGTGGGGTGAGTGAGTGGAGTGAGTGAGTGGAGTGAGTGGAAGTGAGTGGAGTGAGTGGGGTGAGTGGGGTGAGTGGGGTGAGTGAGTTGAGTGAGTGGAGTGAGTGGAGTAAGTGGAGTGAAGTGAGTGGAGTGAGTGGAGTGAGTGGGGTGAGTGGGGTGAGTGGGGTGAGTGAGTGGAGTGAGTGGAGTGAGTGGAGTGAGTGAGTGGAGTGAGTGGAGGTGAGTGGGGGTGAGTGGGGTGAGTGGGGTGAGTGAGTGAGTGAGTGGAGTGAGTGGAGTGAGTGGAGTGAGTGAGTGGAGTGAGTGGAGTGAGTGGGGTGAGTGGGGTGAGTGGGGTGAGTGGAGTGAGTGGAGTGAGTGGGGTGAGTGGGGTGAGTGGGGTGAGTGAGTGGAGTGAGTGAGTGGAAGTGAGTGGAGTGAGTGGAGTGAGTGGGGTGAGTGGGGTGAGTGGGGTGAGTGGAGTGGAGTGGAGTGAGTGGGGTGAGTGGGGTGAGTGGGTGGAGTGAGTGGAGTGAGTGGAGTGACTGAGTGGAGTGAGTGGAGTGAGTGGGGTGAGTGGGGTGAGTGGGGTGAGTGAGTGAGTGAGTGGAGTGAGTGGAGTGAGTGGGGTGAGTGGGGTGAGTGGGGTGAGTGACGTGAGTGAGTGGATGTGAGTGGAGTGGAGTGAGTGGGGTGAGTGAGTGGAGTGAGTGAGTGGAGTGAGTGGAGTGAGTGGAGTGAGTGGAGTGGAGTGAGTGGAGTGAGTGGGAGTAGAGTGAGTGGAGTGAGTGGAGTGAGTGGAGTGGAGTGAGTGGAGTGAGTGGAGTGAGTGGAGTGGTGTGAGTGGAGTGAGTGGAGTGGAGTGAGTGGAGTGAGTGGAGTGAGTGGTGTGAGTGGAGTGGAGTGAGTGGAGTGAGTGGAGTGGAGTGAGTGGAGTGAGTGGAGTGAGTGGGGTGAGTGGGGTGAGTGAGTGAGTGAGTGGGGTGAGTGAGTGAGTGAGTGGAGTGGAGTGAGTGGAGTGAGTGGAGTGAGTGGAGTGAGTGGAGTGGAGTGAGTGGAGTGAGTGGAGTAAGTGGAGTGAGTGGAGTGAGTGGGGTGAGTGGGGTGAGTGGGGTGAGTGAGTGGAGTGAGTGGAGTGAGTGGAGTGAGTGGGGTGAGTGGGGTGAGTGAGTGGAGTGAGTGGAGTGAGTGGAGTGAGTGGGGTGAGTGGGGTGAGTGGGGTGAGTGAGTTGAGTGAGTGGAGTGAGTGGAGTAAGTGGAGTGAGTGAGTGGAGTGAGTGGAGTGAGTGGGGTGAGTGGGGTGAGTGGGGTGAGTGAGTGGAGTGAGTGGAGTGAGTGGAGTGAGTGAGTGGAGTGAGTGGAGTGAGTGGGGTGAGTGGGGTGAGTGGGGTGAGTGAGTGGAGTGAGTGGAGTGAGTGGAGTGAGTGGAGTGAGTGAGTGGAGTGAGTGGAGTGAGTGGGGTGAGTGGGGTGAGTGGGGTGAGTGGAGTGAGTGGAGTGAGTGGGGTGAGTGGGGTGAGTGGGGTGAGTGAGTGGAGTGAGTGAGTGGAGTGAGTGGAGTGAGTGGAGTGACTGAGTGGAGTGAGTGGAGTGAGTGGGGTGAGTGGGGTGAGTGGGGTGAGTGAGTGAGTGAGTGGAGTGAGTGGAGTGAGTGGGGTGAGTGGGGTGAGTGGGGTGAGTGAGTGAGTGAGTGGAGTGAGTGGAGTGGAGTGAGTGGAGTGGAGTGAGTGGAGTGGAGTGAGTGGAGTGGAGTGAGTGGAGTGAGTGGAGTGAGTGGAGTGGAGTGAGTGGAGTGAGTGGAGTAGAGTGAGTGGAGTGAGTGGAGTGAGTGGAGTGGAGTGAGTGGAGTGAGTGGAGTGAGTGGAGTGGAGTGAGTGGAGTGAGTGGAGTGGAGTGAGTGGAGTGAGTGGAGTGAGTGGGGTGAGTGGAGTGGAGTGAGTGGAGTGAGTGGAGTGGAGTGAGTGGAGTGAGTGGAGTGAGTGGGGTGAGTGGGGTGAGTGAGTGAGTGAGTGGGGTGAGTGAGTGAGTGAGTGGAGTGGAGTGAGTGGAGTGAGTGGAGTGGAGTGAGTGGAGTGAGTGGAGTGAGTGGGGTGAGTGGAGTGGAGTGAGTGGAGTGAGTGGAGTGGAGTGAGTGGAGTGAGTGGAGTGAGTGGGGTGAGTGGGGTGAGTGAGTGAGTGAGTGGGGTGAGTGAGTGAGTGAGTGGAGTGGAGTGGAGTGAGTGGAGTGAGTGGAGTGAGTGGAGTGAGTGGAGTGGAGTGAGTGGAGTGAGTGGAGTAAGTGGAGTGAGTGGAGTGAGTGGGGTGAGTGGGGTGAGTGGGGTGAGTGAGTGGAGTGAGTGGAGTGAGTGGAGTGAGTGGGGTGAGTGGGGTGAGTGAGTGGAGTGAGTGGAGTGAGTGGAGTGAGTGGGGTGAGTGGGGTGAGTGGGGTGAGTGAGTTGAGTGAGTGGAGTGAGTGGAGTGAGTGGAGTGAGTGAGTGGAGTGAGTGGAGTGAGTGGGGTGAGTGGGGTGAGTGGGTGAGTGAGTGGAGTGAGTGGAGTGAGTGGAGTGAGTGAGTGGAGTGAGTGGAGTGAGTGGGGTGAGGGGGGTGAGTGGGGTGAGTGAGTGGAGTGAGTGGAGTGAGTGGAGTGAGTGGAGTGAGTGAGTGGAGTGAGTGGAGTGAGTGGGGTGAGTGGGGTGAGTGGGGTGAGTGGAGTGAGTGGGGTGAGTGGGGTGAGTGGGGTGAGTGGGGTGAGTGAGTGGAGTGAGTGAGTGGAGTGAGTGGAGTGAGTGGAGTGAGTGGGGTGAGTGGGGTGAGTGGGGTGAGTGGAGTGAGTGGAGTGAGTGGGGTGAGTGAGTGGAGTGAGTGGAGTGAGTGGAGTGACTGAGTGGAGTGAGTGGAGTGAGTGGGGTGAGTGGGGTGAGTGGGGTGAGTGAGTGAGTGAGTGGAGTGAGTGGAGTGAGTGGGGTGAGTGGGGTGAGTGGGGTGAGTGAGTGAGTGAGTGGAGTGAGTGGAGTGGAGTGAGTGGGGTGAGTGAGTGGAGTGAGTGGAGTGGAGTGAGTGGAGTGAGTGGAGTGAGTGGAGTGGAGTGAGTGGAGTGAGTGGAGTAGAGTGAGTGGAGTGAGTGGAGTGAGTGGAGTGGAGTGAGTGGAGTGAGTGGAGTGAGTGGAGTGGAGTGAGTGGATGTGAGTGGAGTGGAGTGAGTGGAGTGAGTGGAGTGAGTGGGTGAGTGGAGTGGAGTGAGTGGAGTGAGTGGAGGAGTGGAGTGTGTGGAGTGAGTGGAGTGAGTGGGGTGAGTGGGGTGAGTGAGTGAGTGAGTGGGGTGAGTGAGTGAGTGAGTGGAGTGGAGTGAGTGGAGTGAGTGGAGTGAGTGGAGTGAGTGGAGTGGAGTGAGTGGATGTGAGTGGAGTAAGTGGAGTGAGTGGAGTGAGTGGGGGTGAGTGGGGTGAGTGAGTGGAGTGAGTGGAGTGAGTGGAGTGAGTGGAGTGAGTGGGGTGAGTGAGTGGAGTGAGTGGAGTGAGTGGAGTGAGTGGGGTGAGTGGGGTGAGTGGAGGGAGTGAGTGGAGTAAGTGGAGTGAGTGGGAGTGAGTGGAGTGAGTGGGTGAGTGGAGTGGAGTAAGTGGAGTAAGTGGAGTGAGTGGAGTGAGTGGAGTGAGTGGAGTAGAGTGAGTGGAGTGAGTGGGGTGAGTGGAGTGGAGTGAGTGGAGTGAGTGGACGTGAGTGGAGTGAGTGGGGTGAGTGGGTGAGTGGAGTGGAGTGAGTGGAGTGAGTGGAGTGAGTGGAGTGAGTGAGTGAGTGGAGTGAGTGGAGTGAGTGGAGTGAGTGGAGTGAGTGGAGTGAGTGAGTGAGTGGAGTGAGTGAGTGGAGTGAGTGGAGTGAGTGGAGTGAGTGGAGTGGGCGTGAGTGGAGTGAGTGGAGTGAGTGGGTGAGTGAGTGGAGTGAGTGGAGTGAGTGGAGTGGAGTGAGTGGGGTGAGTGGGGTGAGTGGAGTGGAGTGAGTGGAGTAAGTGGAGTGAGTGGAGTGAGTGGAGTGAGTGGAGTGAGTGGGGTGAGTGAGTGGAGTGAGTGGAGTAAGTGGAGTCAGTGGAGTGGAGGTTTCGCTTCGAGAAATCCTCGCAGCGAAACCTCCACGCGTTTGGAACCCCCTCGTCGGAATCGACGCAGTGAGAGAGAGGAGAGAGATGAGAGAGAGATGAGTTTTGAGTTTACGAAGAAAGTAGCACAGATTGACTTTGTTGCACAATGGGAAAACACGTAAAATATTTCATTTAAACAGAGGGTGGGGTGGGTTTCATAAAGCAAAGCATTGAAAAATAAAACGAAATGATGAACGGAGCAAAGTGCCGACTACACCGAGCATTTTCTTGATTCCTCTGATCGTCAAAAGGAGAGGAGAGAGATGAGAGAGAGAGAGGAGAGAGATATATATGAGAGAGAGGGGAGACAGAGAGAGAGGGGAGAGAGAGAAACGCATCCAACACGGCAAACAGGTCACGTTAGCGACGGTGTTTGACGACAAACTACGAACTACCTCGGCGGGGTGTGGGAGCCTCCTTACTCACCTGTCCACTCGTCCGCCTCCTCGACTCTCCAAATCGTCGCCCCCCTCCACTCGCAGCTACGCCAGCTCAGGGCACAGAAATCGCCCCACTGTGAGCGGGGGGGGGGGTCTATCTTAGCAGGACCACCACCACAACCACCACGGATTTACTCTCCTCCAACGCCACCAATCTTCCTCGCATTGGCAACCGCGTCCGGCCACGAATCCCGTGACATTTTTTGTTGTTGTTTCGTTTGTAAAAAAACTAAATAATTCTTTTTTGTTCACGCACGACAGAGAGACGCCACGCACACACACACAGAGAGACACAAATTGACAATGCGCTTATTTAAGTGGGGAGGACGAGGGGGGGGGGGGTAGAGGAAAGGGTTGGTTATCCTATAGGAGAGTCCCACATATTGTGGTGGTTGGTGGTGGTGTTTGGTGGTGGTGGTTGCGGTTGTGTTGGTGGTGGTTGGTGGTGCTGGTGGTGGTGGTTGTTGGTGCTGGTGGTGGTGGGTGGTGGTGGTGCTGGTGGTGGGTGGTGCTGGTGGTGGTGGTGGTGGTTGGTAGTGGTTGGTGGTGGTGGTTGCGGTTGTGTTGGTGGTGGTGGTTGGTGGTGGTGGTGGGTGGTGGTGCTGGTGGTGGGTGGTGGTGGTGGTTGGTGGTGGTGGTTGCGGTTGTGTTGGTGGTGGTGGTTGGTGGTGGTGGTTGGTGGTTGGTGGTGCTGGTGGTGGGTGGTGGTGCTGGTGGTGGTGGGTGGTGCTGGTGGTGGGTGGTGGTGCTGGTGGTGGTGGGTGGTGCTGGTGGTGGTGGTGGTGGGTGGTGGTGCTGGTGGTGGTGGTGGGTGGTGCTGGAGGTGGTTGGTGGTGGTGGTGCTCGGGTTTTGGCCGTGACAACCCCGTGGCTTTCCCCACCCCTCCACCCCTCCACCACCACGCCCACAGACACAAAAACGTGTCCGTGCTGATTGCTCTGTTTGCGGACAGCAGCAGCAGGTGCGCCCCTCGCTCTGTCTTAAATAGGCGCCGCTCGCCGTTGCCGCTCGCCGCTGCCGCTGTGTATTTGTGGGAGGCGGTGGGATGGGTTGGAAGACAATGCCCCCAACTCCCCCCCGTCTCGTGTCGCCTCTGCCCTGTCACCTCTACTCGCTGCCTTCATTGAGTCTCTGCGGTGCCTTTAAAAAGACCGTGGCCTGCCGTAACGTGGCGGGGTGGTGTGCGTGGCTGGGCAGTGGAGGGGGGTGGGGGTTTGCACTGGCTAACATTAGAACGGGGCGCGTGTGTGGGGTGTGTGGGTGTGGTGTGTGGGTGTGGTGTGCGTTAGTGTGAGTGGTGTGTGTGTGGGGTGTGTGGGTGTGAGGTGTGTGGGTGTGGTGTGTGGGTGTGGTGTGCGTTAGTGTGAGTGGTGTGTGGGTGGGGTGTGTGGGTGTGGTGTGTGTGGGGTGTGTGGGTGTGGTGTGCGTTAGTGTGAGTGGTGTGTGGGTGGGGTGTGTGGGTGTGGTGTGTGTGGGGTGTGTGGGTGTGGTGTGCGTTAGTGTGAGTGGTGTGTGGGTGGGGTGTGTGGGTGTGGTGTGTGTGGGGTGTGTGTGGAGTGTGTGTGGGGTGTGTGTGGGGTGTGTGTAGGGTGTGTGTGAGGGGTGTGTGGGTGTGGTGTTTTGTATGAGTGGTGTGTGTGTGGGGTGTGTGGGTGTAGTGTTTTGTGTGAGTGGTGTGTGGGTGGGGTGTGTGGGGGTGGTGTTTTGTGTGAGTGGTGTTTGTGTGTGGGGTGTGTGGGTGTGGTGTGGTGTTTTGTGTGAGTGGTGTTTGTGTGTGGGGTGTGTGGGTGTGGTGTGTGTGGTGTGTGTGTGTGGGGTGTGTGTGGGGTGTGTGTGTGAGTTGTGTGGGTGTGGTGTGGTGTTTTGTGTGAGTGGTGTGTGTGTGGGGTGTGTGGGTGTGGTGTTTTGTGTGAGTGGTGTGTGTGGGGTGTGTATTAGTGTGGGGGGGTGTGCGGTGTGTGTGTGGGGTGTGTTAGTGTGTGTGCGCGTTGTGTGTGCGTGTTGTGTGTGTGGGGTGTGTGTGTGGGGTGTGTGTGTGGGGTGTGTGTGTGTGTGTGTGAGTGGTGTGTGTGGGGTGTGTGTTAGTGTGGGGTGCGTGTTAGTGTGGGTGTGGTGTTTTGTGTGAGTGGTGTGTGGGTGGGGTATGTGGGTGTGGTGTGGTGTTTTGTGTGAGTGGTGTGTGTGGGGTGTGTGTTAGTGTGTGTGCGTGTTGTGTGTGTATTAGTGTGGGGTCTGTGTGTGTGGGGTGTGTGGTGTGTTAGTGTGGGGTGTGTGTGTGTGGTGTGTGTTAGTGTGTGTGTGTGTTGTGTGTGTGTTAGTGTGGGGTGTGTGTGTGTGGGGTGTGTGTGTGTGGTGTGTGTTAGTGTGGGGTGTGTGTGTGTGTGGTGTGTGTTAGTGTGTGTGTGCGTGTTGTGTCTGTGTTAGTGTGGGGTGTGTGTGTGAGGTGTGTGTATGTGGTGTGTATTAGTGTGGGGTGTGTGTGAGTGGTGTGTGTGTGTGGGGTGTGTGTTAGGGTGTGTGTGAGTGGTGTGTGTGGGGTGTGTGTTACTGTGGGGTGTGTGAGTGTGAGTGGTGTGTGTGTGTGGGGTGTGTGTTAGTGTGTGCGTGTTGTGTGTTGTTGTAGTGTGGGGTGTGTGTGTGTGGGGTGTGTGTTAGGGTGTGTGTGAGTGGTGTGTGTGGGGTGTGTGTTAGTGTGGGGTGTGTGAGTGTGAGTGGTGTGTGTGGGGTGTGTGTTAGTGTGGGGTGCGTGTTAGTGTGGGGGTGGTGTTTTGTGTGAGTGGTGTGTGGGTGGGGTATGTGGGTGTGGTGTGGTGTTTTGTGTGAGTGGTGTGTGTGTGGTGTGTGTTAGTGTGTGTGCGTGTTGTGTGTGTATTAGTGTGGGGTGTGTGTGTGTGGGGTGTGTGTGTGTGGTGTGTGTTAGTGTGGGGTGTGTGTGTGTGTGGTGTGTGTTAGTGTGTGTGTGCGTGTTGTGTCTGTGTTAGTGTGGGGTGTGTGTGTGAGGTGTGTGTATGTGGTGTGTATTAGTGTGGGGTGTGTGTGAGTGGTGTGTGTGTGTGGGGTGTGTGTTAGGGTGTGTGTGAGTGGTGTGTGTGGGGTGTGTGTTAGTGTGGGGTGTGTGAGTGTGAGTGGTGTGTGTGTGTGGGGTGTGTGTTAGTGTGTGCGTGTTGTGTGTTGTTGTAGTGTGGGGTGTGTGTGTGTGGGGTGTGTGTTAGTGTGTGTGCGTGTTGTGTGTTGTTGTAGTGTGGGGTGTGTGTGTGCGGGGTGTGTGTATGTGGTGTGTATTAGTGTGGGGTGTGTGTGTGTGTGAGTAGTGTGTGTGGGGTGTGTGTGGGGTGTGTGTGTGAGTGGTGTGTGTGTGTTAGTGTGGGGTGTGTGTGAGTGGTGTGTGTGTGGTGTGTGTTAGTGCGGGGTGTGTGTGTGGGGGGTGTGTGTTAGTGTGTGTGTGCGTGGTGTGTGTGTGTTAGTGTGGGGTGTGTGGGGTGTGTGTGTGTGAGTGGTGTGTGTGGGGTGTGTGTTAGTGTGGGGTGTGTGTGTGGTGTGTGTGTGGGGTGTGTGTGTGGGGTGTGTGTGGGGTGTGTTAGTGCGGGGTGTCTGTGCGTGTTGTGTGTGTGAGTGGTGTGTGTGGGGTGTGTGTTAGTGTGGGGTGTGTGTGTGTGTGGGGTGTGTGTTAGTGTGGGGTGTGTGTGTGTGGGGTGTGTGTTGTGTGTGTGAGTGGTTACGGTAGGTGCTCGCTGACAGCCCTTACCCCAACAGTCTGTTCAGGCCATAGGGGACCCCAGTTCAATTCCCGCTCACGGCTACCAACACCAGTGACTATCTGAACCGGTTCTGAGCTACCGCAAGTTGGACACAACTTCAAATGAGCACCTGGCAATGCTGGATGAAGCGAGTGCATCATGTAGCATGATGTTGTTATAAAAGGGCCCTAAATATAAAAAAACACAAATATTAAAACGCACATTTTTAACTTGCATAGTAAAGTAATTTTACTTTTTGCATTTGCCATACGGCCAGATAATACGACAAATCGCTAACCTTAAACAGCCAGTGGTTCGTAAAAGTTGAAGGCGGTATGGTACTATAGTAGTAGAGCAAGTGCAGAATCACTGATCCAGAATTGATAGCTTGAAAGCGTTTAGCGCGGGGCCCTTCAAAGTGCGGGGTCCGTAGCATTTGTAGCTACTACTACAACACGTGTAGCCACTACTACAACACGTGTAGCCACTACTATAACACGTGTAGCCACTACTACAACACGTGTAGCCACTACTACAACACGTGTAGCCACTACTACAACACGTGTAGCCACTACTACAACACGTGTAGCCACTACTACAACACGTGTAGCCACTACTACAACACGTGTAGCCACTACAACAACACGTGTAGCCACTACTACAACACGTGTAGCCACTACTACAACACGTGTAGACACTACTACAACACGTGTAGCCACTACTACAACACGTGTAGCTACTACTACTGCAACACGTGTAGCTACTACTACTACTACTACACGTGTAGCTACTACTACAACACGTGTAGCTACTACTACAACACGTGTAGCTACTATTACTACACGTGTAGCTGCTACTACAGCACGTGTAGCTACTACAACAACACGTGTAGCTGCTGCTACTACTGCACGTGTAGCTACTACTACAACACGTGTAGCTACTACTACTACACGTGTAGCTACTACTACTACACGTGTAGCTACTACTACAACACGTGTAGCTGCTACTACTACTGCACGTGTAGCTGCTACTACTACTGCACGTGTAGCTACTACTACTGCACGTGTAGCTACTACTACTGCACGTGTAGCTACTACTACAACACGTGTAGCTACTACTACTACACGTGTAGGTACTACTACTACTACTGCACGTGTAGCTACTACTACTACACGTGTAGCTACTACTACAACACGTGTAGCTACTACTACTGCACGTGTAGCTACTACTACAACACGTGTAGCTACTACTACAACACGTGTAGCTGCTGCTACAACACGTGTAGCTACTACTACTGCACGTGTAGCTACTACTACTACACGTGTAGCTACTACTTATGTAGCTACTTGTGCTACTGGGGTATTCCGGCACTGGTACCTGGTGCGGTGAGTAGTAAACATCGCCACTGGGGAGACAAAGGCGGCCGGGCGTGGTGCTGGCCACCCACCCCCTTGTGTGCCGTTCCAGCCTTCGTAGGTGCTGCTCGCTAACATCACTTGCCCCAACAGCATGTTGAGACTACACGGGGGATCTTTGTCTTTGGAAATGTTTCTTTTGTATGTGTGGGCTCAAAGTGCACCTAGCCTGGCACT